GTGTGTGTGTGTGTGTGTGTGTGTATGTGTGCATGTATGTATGTATTTAAAGAAGAATCTGTTTTAATTATTGTTATTATATACCTGTATATCACGGGCTTAGATGCATCTTGCTTTCGAACTCGTAATACGAGTAAGTTTATTACTGTATGTGTATCAACATATTTTCTACAGACCGATGAAATTAGAGGAGATGGATTCGCAGAGGCTTCGCCTCCAAAATTCCTTCTCTTTAAATGGTCGCTATGATGCATGTTCTTCGCTTCATCAAGAAAATTCTGACTTTCCACAATCACGTGATTTCCTGAAAAACGGTAATTTTACATGATTAAACATTAGATACCCTTGTTTGATTTTGTTTTTGTTTGTTTGTTTTTTTTGTTTTTTGTTTTTTTTTAAATGTAAGTTAAGGGTCATCTGCTCTTTTCACTCACCGTCAATATTTGTACCGTCAAATTTCTCATACAGTGATGTTTGTTGTCAATGACGACCGACCAAATGTTTCTTTTTGAGAATGGCTGAAATACATAATAAAAATCAAATTAATTATAAAAAGAATAGTGTCAAACGCTACTCTAAAAGCGAAAAAGAAAGTGGTGGAATATTACTTCATACATCTAAAGGGAATTTTTAATTTGATAAACAATACTGACTGTCTACTGACTGATCAATGATTAGTCAATGTTCGAGGTTTCTCTTGTCCCAAGAAAGGCCACCGGCAACCGACTTCACCCAATACCCACCAAGGCTTACTTTTTGGTACGAATGATGGGATGGTTAGTTCAACATTTAACCAATAGTTAGTAGTATAACTGTATGTCGTCATTTTTTTTCTTCACAAAATCGGGGATTTTAACAGATGATATTGAAAATAATTTAAAACAAAAAGAAAGAAAAAAATGGAATAGACTAGTTGTTGGCATGTCTTTTGGCTCGATGGCTTTTATAGGAACAGTTGCTGTGCTAAGCTTTCGTAAGTACCATTTTTTTTTATCTAATTGAATTTCTCATTTAAGGCCCAAATAAGTTTTTAACTTCCAATAAAAATAAACACTACAAACTGTCAACAAATATATATTGTTATTCTTGCTCCTTATTTCTATTCCATGTAATTATATTTCCAATAAATTTACAATATTATATATTTTTCTGTTTATTATTATTATTATTATTATTATTATTATTATTATTATTATTATTATCATTATTATTATTATTATCATCATTATTAGTTATAAGGAAGAAATTATTATGTGCTGGCGACGAATCAGTCAAGGGTGTATATTGGAGGGTCATTTCAATTTTTGAGGACTCAGACCTAAATATCTCTTTAAAAAAAATCAATGGGTATAACTTAAACCTTGTATAACAGTTTGTCAAGGTCGAGTAATGAAATGATAACATTTTTGTGACGATCTGGAGTAGGGTGAAGATTTGATGACCATTGAAAGGAAAACGTCTCAGACCACATATTTTGAAAACGGATCACTAATCTGAATGAAACATTCGGAAAAGGTTTAACCAAGTTTCAAGGAAGATAGTATAATAAGTTGGCGACGAATTAGTCAAGTGTGTAAATTTGAGGGTCATTTAAATTTTTGAGATCCTAAAAAAAATTTCAATAGGTGTAAATGTAACTTTCTATAATAGTTTGTAAAGGTCCAATAAAGAAATGACTGAATTTTTGTGGTGATCCGGCGTAGAGTGTGAATATGAGGACCATTTAAAGGAAAACGTCCCAGACCAGATATTTCAAAAACCTTTTAACGACTTTTCTTTTTGTTGGAATTTCAACTTCATTTCTCATTAAAGCAACGAGGAAAAGCCCTATGTTCTGTTGTTCAAACAGACATAGTAAGTCTATTATTATTATTATTATTATTATTATTATTATTATTATTATTATTATTATTATTATTATTATTATTATTATTATTATTATTATTATTATTATTATTATTATTTATTATTATTATTATTATTATTATTATTATTACATATCATTGTTAGGACCTATTGTGTTATTATTATATTAAGAAAAATTGTAATGAATATTTAGCCTATTCATCGATTGTTAATTGTCGTAATGTTCTTCATTATTGTAATTGTTTGTATTTCAATCCAGATATGTCAGCCAAGTACCACAGTGCAGCGGCACTAGGACTAGGGGTATGTAAGCCTATACCTGCATACACGTACAGTAGAATATCAGCTAGCCGTACCCCCCCCCCCCCCACACACACCAAGAAAGGAATATAGAAAAAAAACAAAAAAACAGAGAAGCCCAAAGAAAAAATCAAGGAAAGAGACGGTTTTTCCAATTTAAATTCTTATATCTAAATTTAGATTCTTATATTCTTATATCAATATTATCAAGGCTGAAAACATGGCTTCAATAATAGATAGAATTTATATAATTATCCATAAAGATATGGTTCAACGACAACAACAAGCATACTTTATTTTAATAAAAAATGGGAAAAGTGCTTGTGGTGAATCCAGACGCCAGAAGCGATAGCGTAGCACTATTGATATCACATTAACCAAAGATCTAGTACCGATAAGATTCAACGCCGATTTTGTATTTAAATAGCACCATAATCTGGATATCCATGACAGAATAATACGTATAGGTTGGCTTACATCCATATTAAAAGCATTCTTGTCGTATTACCATGGTGGCATTAGTGCTATCTCAACTGTTACGTCAAATACTAATGGTGAAGGCCTTCACTGGATTCGAATCCAGGTGTAGGTTACCATATATTTTTATTAAATTCTTTTTTGTTACGGTTATACTTACCCATTGCACATTATAAATAATTATGATATAGACAATATAAGTTATATTTAATATATATATCTGTCTCTTATACACATCTTCNNNCTATAAACATTATTTATATTGCTCTGCTTTCAACAACACCTACTGCAATTTTGGCTACCCGTATGTGTTGTTACGATATTAAACACTGATACTTTTTATAATATAGTTAACTTAAAAGAACTGTTTATTGTATCAACCACAGTGTGATTGTCTGCTTGATATGGCTACCTCAGGTGTTATAATATGGAGATTTTCTGGGTCTACCGAAAATTCAGTTAGAAGAGAAAGAATGTAAGTTAACTTAATTGATATCAATGGTGACCTCAAAAGAAACATTAAATTACGGATAACATATCAACTATTGTACCATTGTAACTATTGTATTTTCTGAAGGGGGATACGTCCCCTAGATATGCCACTGGTAATCAAAATAACCATACCATACAGTCATCATTGTCACTTCCAAGGTATATCATCATTATCATTGTCCATGTTCCTATTTTTGTCTCTGGTACATTTTGTATGGGAAAGTCTCATTCATTCATCATTGTATAATAACTTGACAAAATACCATAGCTTATGTCCGTTTTGCATCTTGTCCTTTATTTTTCATCATTTTAATTCAATTTCAGAACGTTGATTTTCTTCGGGATACTTTTCATATTGTCTGGTATATTTATCATATTCAGGGCTACCGTTACGCTGTTTCAACAGAAGCACATCTTCCCAGTAGGTATATATATAATTTAAATTTTTTAAGGCTTAAAAATTTTTTTTTTTTAATTTTAGGCTTTTGGTAATTGGGGGTCCATAATCTCAAAATGTTCGCTCCTCGACCCCAACCACGGTGGGGCCGAGGGGGTGTATGCACCTCCAACCGCTAAATAGTACATCCGCCCAGCTAAGGAGCATTTAGGTCCTACTAATGTTGTATTGAGATACGCACGCACTTACAGTATTTTTACGTACGGTACCGTATGTAACGATTTTCGTGCGTGAGTGGGGTGCCAATTTCGTGACATATCTTAAACAGAGAAGAGGTTAACACTAATTTCCCAGTTTCTAGCCGCATGGGATTCCTGAGCCACAACCAGGGTTTAACTCCTGGATACCTCTGCCGGAAACTGATCCATTTTTAATGTATTCTAGAGTAGAGCAACCACTGAACATATACTGTATTATAGGTATTATGGTATATGCGCCTATTCAATATTGATGCTAGATATGTACCACGGTATCTTACAGAGCTCGATGCTGTGTATTCTGGTATTTAGCAGTGGGGTCGTGTGCAGTATTTTGATTTTCATCAAGTTATTTTTAGCAAAGAAATTAAATAGCAAGTGCTTGGAAATAGATGGTAAGAAATTATCATAACTGTCACAATGAGTTGAGAGAAACAAATCAAACAATAGGCGCCTAGCTAAAAACAATGTTTAAAATTGGTAGAATATGAAAATATTAATTTTCTTGTCTTGATAAATAATAGCAATGAGTATGACGCTTTATATTCATTGCTTGATTTATGTCTTTTAAGGTCAAAGATTTATTTAAACCTGCAGTATAATAAAATTACCTCTGTCTCTTATACACATCTAGATGTGTATAAGAGACAGCTTATATTCTTATATCAATATTATCAAGGCTGAAAACATGGCTTCAATAATAGATAGAATTTATATAATTATCCATAAAGATATGGTTCAACGACAACAACAAGCATACTTTATTTTAATAAAAAATGGGAAAAGTGCTTGTGGTGAATCCAGACGCCAGAAGCGATAGCGTAGCACTATTGATATCACATTAACCAAAGATCTAGTACCGATAAGATTCAACGCCGATTTTGTATTTAAATAGCACCATAATCTGGATATCCATGACAGAATAATACGTATAGGTTGGCTTACATCCATATTAAAATAATTGGGGTCTGCCAAGTCAAATTTAGGGCTATAGCGCAAGAGTACTACCATTTATTATATCATGACGGGTGTAAATATTACACCTGAAGTTAAGGTTGGTAGAATATGAAAATATTAATTTTCTTGTCTTGATAAATAATAGCAATGAGTATGACGCTTTATATTCATTGCTTGATTTATGTCTTTTAAGGTCAAAGATTTATTTAAACCTGCAGTATAATAAAATTGCCGTTTCTCTTCTTCCACCTACTGATCGAATATATTTGATCAAATAGAAATTGTATTTCACACTCTGCCTTGCTTCTTCACTTTGGCACTATAAGCATATTTTACTAATTTCTTTAAAGTTAAAATTATTTCTGATCAGTGATTACATATTTTGTTATATCTATTTTTGTATTCCACTTACTTTGATATTTGCTTTCAGTATTTTGTTAATTTTGTTTTATTTAATTATAATTGACCTGTTTTATTTATAATATTGTATTTATGTTAAACTGGATGAGTGAGGTTCACAGACTTTGTGTTATAGCGATTAGTTCACTTTTTTGTTCCTGCCAACTCATTCAATTTATTGTAGGCCCTACTTGTTTTCTGTATGTATTCCATCATTGTATTGTACTTTGTTTGTTTGTTTGTTTGTTTTTTTTTTTTGGCGAATATAGAATAAGAATAATATACGGATTGTATTGTCACGTCAATTTAGATTTTTATTCCTAAGTAGGCCTACGTTTCCTATAAGCACTCTCGTTTTATTCCGATGTATTTTTACCGTATTAAGTGGATTTTTCCCATGATTACCACATTTGATAAAGGTTGAATATCTTATAGATAAAAAAAAAATCTGCTGGATTAATTTTATCAATATAGGCCTATTCGGTTGATGTCTTCCTTCGTAAATCAGTAAAATTCCCTCATTAATCTTGTAAAAATATAGGCCTACTATATTGGCTTGACACCGACTCCTTATGTCCATTTTATAGGCCTATTTAACATTAAAATCTTATTTCTATTTTGTATGTTTTTATTAATTTATGTCCGAATTTTCATTTATTTATCAGCACTCGGCTCCGTAGCGAACGTTGTTTTAAGCTTCAGTATTCTTATTAGCACGGTGATTATTGAGCAAAATGAGAATATCTGGTTTATTGACGCAATTGTTGCAAGTTTTATTGGACTTTTACTATGGATTTATGGAGCAAAGTAAGTTGTGTACTGTTTCCAGCGGAACAGCTGTAAAATACCAGATATTAATTGCTTATTATTAATAAACCTTTTACAAACTCTGACCAATTTTTAATGGTGAACAATTTCATTGCATATAAATAATTGTCTATAATTTAGAATCTTGAACTTGAGAAATAGTAATAATTTGTATGGGTATGTGATATGGATTACTAAAGGTATATATAATATTATAATGTTGTTCACATGCCGAATGATAAGCAAAATACATTTACAAAATGGCGGCTCCCTGAGAAATTCCAAGTATCGTTTTTCATATAAAGTTTAATAGGTAGGCCTATTCCTCATATAAACTATTATAATCTCTCTGATTTCACAGATTATGGTATGATGTTGTGCGTGACAGAGCGGAGCTACCAACTGACCTATGAATTCACAACCATAAAATTGCACCGGCAAAAAATAGCAAAGGACCTCCGCAATAACATACGCAAACACGTGCGTTTGTGGGACAACACGTGTGCTAGACACGCGCGTATTCCTGGCCCTGTTCTGATTGGTCAGTTGTTAAATTTGATTGACAAGTATTGATAAATTATTGTTTTTATTTCACCAGTTGCTGGTATCAACAACATAAATCGTTAGATACTATGG